AAAAGTGCACGCCTCACATGCTTGTTATGTTAATAATTAAAATTAAAAGAAATGAAAATACTGACGATAATTTTTACAAGGAAAAAAAAAGAGAATCTGATCGAATTTCATTAATAACTTTTAAACGTTGTCGCGTTCAATTAAAAAAAATTAATTGGGATCCTTCTTAGAATAAATGGAATTTTATTTAATACTATAAAATATATTGCTTACATTTCTTTTAAGCGAGAAGATCAACTACTCACAGACCAACGGACGGTAGTCCATATATTCTATCATATCTGTCTACGGTTAAAAGTTAAAACACATATGCATTGTCATCCCTGAAAACTGAGATGGTGTGCCTCGTATCCAGTACAAAGGGTCTCCGGTTATACTCATCATACTAAACTGAGGCATTAAGCTGCTATCTTACACTGATATGCTGTGAGAGCGTAGTCTTCCCCGGTCAAGCTGACCCATATCTCATGGCTACGGGACAACAATGCATACCTACAATGAAGGCCATGTACAGTGGACTTTAACTAATCAAGAGAAAGAAGAAGAAGAAATATTTTTTTTACTTTAATGGATCTGCAAATTTTTTTCTCGTCGGCCAATAGTTCACTCTAAAAAAATAAATAAAAGTAAAGGTCAACTTCACAGAACCGGAGAGAATAGAATAATTTACATTTTGAAGTCAGTGCTAAGACATAGTGTATAAAAGAATTCAGAAGCCCCGACTACATAATGTAAATTATTTTATTCTTTTAAATATTTTAATTCGCTTGGAATTTTTTAAAAGGTTTTTTTTTAACTCTTTGGAGTAGACTAAGGAAGATCACAATCCTAATGTCGTCTAAATAGCTACATTAAATATTTCATTTCCTATTTTGGCACTTTTTCTCCAAATTTATATGAAACCACCCTGATGTACATCTATACCTCTACGATACAAACTATAATAATATAACCTGTAATAATTAGCTTAATTTAATAAAAAAAATCAAACTTGGTTCACAATATGCGAAGACATGATGGCTTCGTGACGCAGTGACTTAGCAATGAGTTGCAGCGCCTTAGGCTCTTAAGCCGCGGATTCGAATCCTGCACAGAACGAGTATTTGTATGTCCTACAAATAATTGTTCTTCGTCTGAATGTTGGTCCTTGTGAAATTTGTGTACCTAATCTGCCCCCACGATACAGAAAAAATCCTAATGGAGACGTAAATCTTTAAAAGAGAAAAAACTAAGAACAACACAATATAGTATAGTAGTTGTATATACATACATATACAACGGTAAAAGAACACAATCGAATTGTAAAACTGATCGAATTATAAAACTGAACGAATTGACAAAACTATTGGGGTCTTATAAGTAAACAAATATCACTCAATTGGCACATTCGAAAAACAAATTTACATATAAACTAAATACTTAATCTTAATTAAATGTAGACTATCGGAGGTGACTCAATTTTTGTTTACTTGGGACTAAGATCCCATGAAGCGCTGATTTTCAAACATTCATTCCTCCCTGAGATGTTACATGGGTGTCTTGAGAATTGAGAGCCGCAGTCACCCTCTAATATTGAAATATTTTATAGGTTATGTAATTTTATAATTTTTGTAATTTTATAATTAGTCTTAATGTGTGTGTACGTGTGTGTGTCCATTCGTAAATCACTTTATTAAGCAGTGACTTTCGTAAATATATACAGAATAAAGGTTTGTTTGTATTGTTTGGTTACCAAGGCTCCCGTGACGTGGCGAATAATAAGTTAGCAGAAGTGTATTCGCTGACCTAGTTAAGCAGAGGCGTGACCGGCTCAGATTTTGATTGTTTCTTAACAACGAATTAATTTGACTACTTGATAGTGGCTTATCCTATGTTTATGGTGCTACAGGGATTTGGGTTCAAATCTCGTACAAAACAAATATTTGCCTTAAATTATTTTTTCGGGAGTAGATGCTTGTCCACTTGGAAATTATGTACGTATTCCATGATACAGTATAATTTAATGTGAATTTTAGAACAACTGAAAATATTATACTATTCTTGAAAATTGTGGATGCTAACTCACCTGCTGAGCCTATGATTAAATTTCACCTCGAGAATTCTGTCAGGGATAACAATGTATCTGCGTTTTGACTCTTAATTAAGGACAATGTCTATATGAATGATGTAGATGACTACGGTTTACAGCATCCGCTTACATTCACGTGGACTGTGTGCTTGTTTGTCACCCACTGATTATAAGTGGATTCCGCGGCCCATAGACATATATATATATATATATATATATATATATATATATATATCTTCAATCAAAAATCAAAATGACTCGTTTTCACGCAGATGATTAAGATAAAATGCCTCATTTCTAGTAAAAAAAGGTCTCCCATTGTCTACACTCACTATACGAAATAATATAACATTAAGCGTATAAGTTTGCGGTCCTTTCCCGGTTGAGACGACCTATTCGTGCTATAACATAACTGCAGCCTCGTTCCCCTACGTGTCAGGAGTATAAAAATACATGAAATATTTGAGCAGCATTAAATAATATTATATTACATTCGTTAAAAGTTCTTTACTTATTATTTTTGTAACGACATAAAAACAGGCTTATAATACTTTGAATAATTGACTAAATTAATGCAGTAAATTTGACAGTTATTATGATAATGAAGTTTATAATGACATTATTAACATAGTATTTTCATGCTCAGAGCACAAAAATTATTTTATATCTGAAAATTTTATTAATTAAATTTGAAGTTATATTTATCTAAAACAAGTAAATGAATTAAAACATTTGCCGCACACAGAAACCGTTGATTTTCCGGACAGCAGAACCTTATTCCGAAAAATTTGTACATTTTAAAAATGAATTTTTAGTAATATTTCATTTCATCATTTTGTATCATTTTATCCACGCAACGCAAATAAGCTACAGCGTCTACATAAAAACGCATTTATTTATTATTAACTGTTATCAACAAAGAGGCACTCAGTTTTACGACATAATCTTCTTCTTTCACATGGGTCTCTCCTATTGTTACGATTGGTAGACGTATTGTAGATAACGCCACTACGTAAATGATCGACTTTTTATCAAGACGGAGCATGCGGTTAACCTGATAGTAAGTGATTACCACCACTCACGAACAGCTGCAACACTAGGAGAATTTAAGGTGCGTTTGTTGATTTTTCCGGACCGATACGCCTTAGGGACCTAAGGCGTATCGGTCCGGAAAAATCGCTGGTGGTAATTGATTCTACAAAGAAGTTGTGCAAAGAAGAAAACTCCTAGTCAACAGCACAGTAGTAGACTGACAAGCTTCCAGATGGTGTGGATGGTATCTGGAACTTTGTCGCTATGTGTGTTGGTGAAATTTGGCGGCTAGAGTTATTACAAACAATTCCTTAGCACTTTCCATGCTAAATGCGACATAAAATACATAGTGAATCAAGTTGACTTGAAAGAAACAGTCACTGTTCACTGGATGTGGTAAAATGTAAGGAACTCGTACAGGAATGCCCCAGTTACCAGCGGTGAGAACATTATTCCATGTAAGGTCGAATTTGCGGCTGGTAAAGTTGCCATCAGTTTTATATTATATTATAAAAGAAAATGTCAAAATCTGAAAGAAGATGAACACTTGTTGATAAATGGATGCCATGACCCATAGACTTCTACATCTTCCCTCGATTAAGAATCAAATACTTAGGTTGTTAAGGCTTAGGGCTTAGTTAGAATGCTTCGTTAACAGTGAAAAGAGTATCTATGCCTCGAAACTGACCATACGAAACACAGGTATTATGATAATATTTAGTAGTGTGTGAGAGAGAGGGAGAGTGATTGTGTCAGAATATGTGTAGTACGATTGCAATAGCCTTAAATATTTGGATTTTTGCAAATAGGTTTTTTATGTAGGGATTTTTAACCGTGTAGCATTGGTGTAAGACTTTTCAACAGCCTTTATCGTCCCGCAGACGTGAAAGAAGTAAGCTGAAGCAGAAGATGGGCAATAGATTCTCCCTGACGACAACTTAAAATTATAAAAAAGCGCGATTGCCTACCGGCCTGCTAGGCATGGCAACTATACTAAAATCGCCCCATAATTTCCCTTATGAAACAATTCAAGGGGGGGGGGAGTTCTGTTCAGTAGTGGACGTTTATGGGCTATGGTAGATAACTGATGAAGAATGGATACACTGGTTCTGTCAAAATTTTGCTAACAGCAATTTTATTCAATCTAAAATAAAAATCCATAATTAAAAGGATTTTCTCGCTATTCCCTCTGGCTGATGAATCTTTACAGTTATATATTGCTCAAAGGCGAAATTCATTTTACAGAAATCTAATCATTTAGTCCTTAAAGAGACTGAAACAAGAACTTGTCCTTTCATTACGATAATCAATAGTTGGTAGTAGTTTCGAATTCGAACCTTCTAATGAGTTATCTGTTCTTAAACACAGCCTGTTAAAAATAGACGTACAAAACCTTTTGAAAATAATTTTACAGATTAAATAAATAATATTTGTTAGGACTTCAATTAAATTCGAACTAGATGGGGTGATGGTATAATATCCCAAATACAGAAATACTCCATTGTTTAAAAAAGCTTTATATAATGATTTCTTAGTTTTAGGTTTTATTTTTTAGGGAATCGTAAATGGCCTCAATTGCTTCAAAAAAAGTATGGTAAGGCCGTACCACCTTTTTGCTCAACTTAGCGGGCACTGCCGTGCCTCCAGATATTTCGAAGATAAAACTAAAACCCTCTCAGAAATGAGAGGAGGCCTGTGCCCAGCAGTTGGACGTAAATACGCTGAAACTTTAACTATTTTTGCGCTTGATTCATGTCATGAAAAAATCTAGATAAAATCTGCAAAATTAGTTTTGTTAAATATAGTCTTCGCGTATTAACGCAAAGTAATCATTAAGTAACCAACAATTAGGAACTTATGAAACTAAAATATTTACCTTTTAATTTAAAATTATTAACCGTCAGTTGTCCAGGCAGTTTAATACCTGAAACAAATAATATGGATTTTTATATCAAGTAAAATATCAGCTTATAAATCCGTGACAGAGCCATGCTGCAACGATATTTTTGTTGCACTAATGGGTCGATCGGGAGAGGTCAATACTCATAAAATACCAGCGTTAAAGAACAGCCTAATGCTACGGTGCTTCGTATGGTGAGTGTAGAAAAGTGAAGACACTTTATACTGGAAACGAGACATTCCAGCTTGGTCCTCGAGGGTACTGCATTTTGGTTCTTAAACTTAACTGTTGTTAAATGCATTTAGCCCAATAATTAATGGCGTTATACATTCAATGAATGAATATACTTATTGTACACCTCAAAAAAAAAAAACTTAAAGGAGCAAGTTAATTTAAATGAACAAATAGGTTGCATTCGGTAGGCTGCATAGCGATCTCTTCCAGGCAATCAATGGCGTAAAGAAATTACAGATACAAGGTAGTTGGCTTGGTATAAATATACATACTGTATAAAAAAAGTAAAGCTACAGCCTATATACGACTTACTGCTGGCCTCTTTACACAGGCCTCTCTCTCTTATTTCTTATATGGTTTTAGGGCAAGGAAGTGTCGGCAGCGCTGCACCAATACGTGTTGTCTTCGAAATACTTTTTTTCTTACTTCTCGGACATGCAGGTTTTCTTACGATGTTTTCCTTCACCACCGAGCACGTGGTAAATACTACTACATACTGTATGACTAAAGCTGAAAGAGAGCAAATGGTCTGTAAGTTCATTTGATATTCATATGCGGGAGAATAAAATATAATGTGATAATTATAATTTTAAATTACTGTAATATAATACTATGTTGGTGCGGCGGGAAAAATGACCACTAGTCACAGTGTCTTTATAGATGTATAAAGCGCGCTTTTACAACCAATCATAAGTCAACCCGGTAAGCGAATACATCAATTGCCACACTTTCGGAAGGCATTTTCTCAGATATTATTATTTTATTAAATTTTATTTATTATAGACCCAAAATACATTAATTAAATATGAATAATAAAACATATTACGCTATGTTGATATGAATATTCAAGTTGTGAAGACGCGGTGTAATAATATCCACTACCCCATGTCGACTCAAAGTAGGATTTAGAGAGGATTAAGAGTATATTGTACTTGAAACTGAATAAATAAATAAAAACTCCTCTATAATACAAAAGCTATTCTAAAAAAGGAAGCCTAAAAAAACAGATAGACAATCGTCGACAAAGTTAACGACCCGCAAAACGAGATTCGTCAATAGTGTAACATTTTGGCACCGCGCCGGATAATTTGAGGTCACTGGATCGATCTCCAACGCAGTGAACCCATCCCTGAGCAAGTGTACCTTACGAAAGGAAACGATTCTTACTTTTATTGCTTGGTAACCACTATTTTTTGTTATACGAACCAAGTAAAACACATATTTCTAAGAAAAGTAAAAAAAATGTTACGCTAGTATAGTTTGATTTTCTATCTAAGGCTTAATTTTCACTAGACCACTTGTATCTTGTATCTTGACCACCAGGTGGGATTGTATTTAGGCAAGGAAAAATCTATACATATAAGTTAAATCGAATTGTATGTGTGGAATATTAAGACAATTGGCTTCTATTAAGTTTACGTTAGGACACAAACAAACATTTTGAAATGTTTTGTTTGTATGTCTGTCTGCTTGTCTGTTCGGGCTAATCTTAATAATGGCTGAACCAATCGTAGTAAAATTGTTATACGTTTTATTTTTTATCATTATAATTTCTATACTAATAGGTAGAGATCCCGAGACTTTTTTTACTGGAAACGATGCATTCAATCTTCGTCCTCAGGGGTTACAACGCATCTGCGTTTTGAAACATAACGAGAAACTTTTTTATTGAATATTTTTTCATCAACCAATGGTTCGCAAGAAAACCTCTGTCCTGGGAAGAACCAGCAAGAAACCCAGCGGGATTATTTTTTTTTTCAAATAATAGCTTACAATCATGTGTGTTACAATTAACAACGCAAAAAAAAATTAGAAATAGCCCTACCCGCAGGTTATTATCATCCATAAATTCCTTAATATTATAATAAACATTTTTATACAAACTTAGTTTAATAAAATTATTGAACTTTGTGTATGACAAATTTTGTATATTTTCTGGGATTTTGTTGTAAAAACGTATACATCGCCCCGAGAATGAATTACTGACTAGGCAGAGTCCAGTTTTAATTCTTAATCGAAGATAAATGTAGATGTCTATGGGTCACAGCATCCACTTACCATGAGGTGAACTGTGGGTTCGTTTGTCACCCTTATTCTATAAAAAAGCTACAAACAAATAGGAAGAAATGCCAGGGGGGATCTAGGCTATATTTGGTCCGAAAAACTTAAACTTTTTTAAATACGAAAAATATTTAAAATCTAGATTTTTGTTTATTATATTCGTCAAGTCACGGGTATTGTATAAATTGACAGCTATGTTATGGCAGCACTACATAAATTACCACTCAGTTAAGTCCCACGGGTGTTGTAACAAGCGATTATGGTAAATCAGGAACATATCAGATACTTCTAATGACTTTCATAAGACGGTGGTATAACCAGCTCGTAGACCAGACATAGAACATCCAAACCGGAGACAGACAAAGTCAAAGGCGCGCACTACGATCTTAAATCCGCCAGCTAAGTGTGACAATTGAGCCAAATCCTTCCTACAATGGGATAAGCCTGTGTTCAGCAGTGAAATTTTACAGACCGGTGAAGAAGAAGATATTATTCACTAGATTCAGAGCCACGCTGCAGCTGTATGCCTCCTTGGTCTGGTGGTTGTAAAGGTGACTGCTGATTATGAGGTCTCGGGTTTGAATGCCAGGTTAGGCCAAAACCAAAATCAGTATTCGACTTCTTCCGTCAAGAAGTTTTCAGTAGCTGCCCGAAGTCAGGAAGTTGGTGGTGTTTCATCACGTGTCATGGAAAGCACGTAAAGACGTTGGTCCTCCACCTGATCTCTCTCCGGTTGTATTGGTTCAAATATGAGAGTAGGCCATTAGAGAGTGCACCTATGCTTGCACACACAACACTTGGGCACTATTATCCTGTTTTGCGCCAACGGAAAATCTCCTTTGATGCTGATCGCCGTAACCGAAATTTGATCTGGAGGAAATTATTATGGCTGTAGCTCAAATAAGTTCTCTCGGCCGGGAACCAGGAACAGGGAACCAGGCTCTCATAGGATACTAGTAGCTCAACATTGCTGCGTTCCGTGAGGTGAGTGTTGAGAAACTGGGAAGATTTTTATTGCTAACGAGTCATTCACTATCTGGCCTCAAGGGTAGCAACGCATTCAAATTTTCATTTTAAATCAATGATAAACGAGCCTAGGTAGAATTTATGGTCGGCAATTTATTTGTAATTGTATATAATTGGTAAACAAAACGTTATTTAAATTTATTAAAAAAATGTATGGTCGAGTTTTTAGAAGTAAAGTCATTTCTGTGAGTTTGGGTACATATTCTAATAACCTACTTAACGGGATACACAGTTTTTTTTTAATAACATGTTATAGATAAAATGTAAAAATTCAAATGCTGCAAGTTTTGTCAGGCAGATTAGACTACACTGAAGACTGATATGTAAGAGAACGTTGCGCACGTAGAATCCATTGCGTTTATTACAATTGATCACCCAGTGTAGATTGATACAAATAGCTCGAACAATTTGTTCTCATTGCGCTGTTAATTCATACATGTCCTTAGAACGCATTAGTTTGTATTATGCCTTATTATTTTAGGAAGGCTTGCGGACTAGTCTTCGTAAAGTTACAGAATGGTAATAAGAATTGCCAGTTTAAATAAATAAGCCTCCTTACGTTCTCTACTATAATCCTGTCCTGCGCAGATGGCTGGTCTCCGTTGAGACATCTGTCTGGAGGGTTGTGGGTTAGTAGATTCTTTTACACCGCCGCTGTACAGGCGGCATTATACTTTATTCATATAAAATAAAGTAACTTTTTTATAGAATAAAGGTGACAAATGAACACACAGTTCACTTGATGATAAGTGGATTATGTAGCTCATAGATTTCTACATCTATCCTTGAATAAGAATCAAAATATGGACGCGGTTCCATCTTTTTTTTATAGGATAGGATGACAAACGGGCACACATCCACGTGGTGGTAAGTGGTTGCTGTGGCCCATAGAAACCTATATGTATCCTCGATTACGAATCAAAATGCAGATGCGTTGTCACCCGTGAGGACTAAGATGGAATGACTCATTTCCAGTTAAAAGGGTCTCCGGTTCTCTACACTCACCATATGAAACACAGCAGCATTAATTTACTATTTTCGCTGTTATTCTGTGAGAACGTGGTCCTTCTCCGGTCGAGCTCTTCCATTCGTGCTACAACTGCAGCTTGGCTTTACTTCGTAAGTTACTTAAATAAGTAGATATATAGTGTTTTCATCCGTTTGATATACACATACATAAAAATAATATTGTAATTACGTATGAAATTTGGCATCATCTTAACTTTTCCAAATACCTAGTCTGCGCCTGGCAACACTGACATTAAAAATACATTACGGAGCCGTAACTTCAAGAAATGAAGAAAAATGCTCCGTTTTTAGTATTGAATTTAAAATTCATGTTCCAAAATTGAATATTAATCTTGTTTGCGATTACTTCGTGCGCGATTTTCACACTGTGTGAACATATTAAATTCGTTATGATTGCCGGTGTTTTTATGAAAAAAGCTTATTAGGCAATTTCGACGCTTATTTAGTGTAGTAGAGGAGGGTGACGGCTGCAGCATAGAGACCATAGCCACGTGGGAATACTTTAGTGGGCGCGATTTTGGAAATAGTTTAAATGATAGCAGTAAAATCTTAAAAAATCTGAAAATCAGCTGTTACTGAAACGACTTTTGATTAAAAATATGAACGTTAAGCATTCAAAGTTCTAAAACATGAGATCATCTAGACTAGTATAAAAATCTTAGATAAGTATAAAA